CTCTGAGAGCTCTTTCATGTTCCACTGTAAATGTCACTCCTGGATAGAGCAGAATACATTCATAAATATAAAGGGAGGCTCATGCACGCACACATTCCTGCTGGGAGTGTGCTGCTGAAATCCCACAGCTCTGTGGTATTAGTGGGTTTTGGGGCTCAGAGGCCCTGAGTCATTAAGTAGCTCTTCTGTAGTCACTGCCTTTCCCTTTGCTGAGGTCAAACAAATAAACTACCTCCACGCTTACCTGGGTGCACAGAAGTGCTATCGTTTGCAATTTCCAGGAAACACTTTAGAATGCTCTGTGTGTGAATATGTGGTGTGTGTGTGTGTGTGCAGCTTTCAACTTGATTAACTAGCTTTACACAAATTATAATCATCAGCAACCACTTTTCTTATATTAGAATTCACCCCGCTCTCTCTGGGCTTACATTTCGCTTTCTCTCAGGGGAGAAGAGCAAGTCTGTGGAGCTGGAAGATGTGAAATTTCATCAGTGTGTGCGTCTCTCTCGCTTTGAGAATGACCGGACTATCTCTTTCATCCCACCTGATGGAGAATCTGAACTAATGTCTTACAGACTCAACACCACGGTCAGTGCTGCATGTATACAACTCTCCGATCAATGAGTTTAGCCATATTTTGTCACAGACTGATGTCTTAAGAATGTATAGTAATTTAAAACATCAAAGTGAATGCAATTAATTCATGTGTTTAATGACTGATTGATTTGTAATATAGTTAAATAATTTTTAGATTTTTTTTGTGCCGTTGTAATGATGGGGTCTCAGAGAGCTTTATTTAAATAAAAACATACAAGAATCAAAGAACGGGAATATGATGAGAAAACAGGACTAGAACTTCAAAGCAGAGAAAACAAAGAATTTTAAATTAAAAGAATGTGAACTTAAAAGACAAAAACATGAATCAATGGTTATGTTTTGAATAGAATACTAGCATACTGTACTGCTCTTATTGTTTCTGGAGTATGTACTATGTATACTGTGAAAAGCATTTAAATTTAAATTCCACTTCCAGTGTGAGGAAATGAATTGGAAGTAGTTACATTGTTTTTTGACCAATAAATTAGCTTATTGTTTAAAGACATTTTTATACAAAATTGCATTCAAATGGAAACTTTTTTTACGTGAAAGATATATATGACTCTGTTTATACACTTCCTTTCAAAAGTTGGGGTCATTAGGGTCGGGCTGCATTTATTTGATCAAAAATACATTTAAATCAGTAATATTGTGAAATATCATTACATTATTATTTAATAATTTGTATTTAAAATACTTGTTTTCTATTTTGATATATTGTCATATGTAATTTATTATTTTGTGTCAAAGCTT